ATCAAACTGTTTTGGGAACTATTCAAGGAATGTATAGACAAAACTGATAAAAACGAGAGCTTTAATCCCTGTGGATGGTGTACTGACATGACAGGGTCAAACATGAATGGCTTGAAAGCTGCCTTTGGTGAAAGGGTTTTAACAAAAATAAAAAGCTGTGAATTCCACTATCAGCAAAGCGTTAATAGGATGGCTTCAAAACTGGGGGATGACGAATCGGACAGATTTCGGGATGTAGATGCTTCATTCGTCCATTGAAGAGACGTACCTCAGAGCTAAGAAAGGTATGGAATCTTTCATAAATGAAGCTGACAACAGAAAATTTCTCTCGTCCTGGCTCTTTTGGTGGAACGCTTGTCGTGCATTCATTTTCAAAGCGTTTTCACCTAAGTCCAAAAATGAATCAGGCGGAAGTTGTGCATGCCGGATGGTCTCACCGTGATCGTGCTAATCTTTCTCTTTTGGAAGCGGCGTATGCAGATGCTAGAGACAGCATACTTCTAGCTGCCAAGCTGAAATCGTTTCAGGTTGGCTTATCCAAGGTGGTTGCGGACCGTCGTATGGCACCAAAAAGAAAATAGCACACAACAGAGAAGTCGAAAATGCTAAATGCACTGGACGGGAGATATTAAGTCTAGCGGACGACAACGGTCTTCTTGTAGATCCTGAGTCAAGCTAACATCCCCAGGAAAACGTCAAAAACGTAAAGGCGCAATTCTCGACTACATCTATAAAATTTGCATATGAAAGTGCCCAGTGCATTGTGGTTAGAGTGGTATCAAATCTGGACAAAATGGCGGAAAATTTCCCGCGAAGTCTTCCATCGGAACAATTGGATTCCTTTACGGCTCTCTCTTCTGAACCTAGCTCTTCTGAGCCGAATGAGCCAACATCCAAACATCCAGAGAACGTTAATTTTGAAGATAAAACGTCATCAAATGGCTTTAAGGCTAAGGCGCAAAAGACACGTGGCGGATACACTTGTTGTGTTCCCGGGTGTTACAACAATAACAAAAAAAACACAGATTTGCACTTCTATAGATTTCCCAACGGTCATACTAAAGAAAAACAGCAATAGCCGAGTTTAGATATTTTGGTTCAGTGACCATGCACAAAAGAATTGCAGACGAGGCTCCGGGGAAATAAAGAATAAAACGATATTATACGCACTTTGATTGGTAATTTTGAAGCGTGTACTTCAAAATAACTATTTGCAATATTAAAAAAAATAAAATTATCAATGGATAATCTTGATTTATTCTTTATTTCCCCGGAGCCCCGTCTGCAATTCTTTTGTGCATGGTCACTGAACCAAAATATCTAAACTCGGCTATTAAGAAAGAGATGGATCTTCCTGGTCAGTCGAAAAAAACTTTGAACTGGGCCCTAATCACCGTGTTTGTTCAGCCCATTTTCCTGGTGGCGCCAAAACATACGACAACAATGTTCCAACTATTGTGCCAAAAAATTCAAAATCAAAGGTCTCGAAGCCTCGTCTAACTCAACGTGCAAGGAATCGTGAATTTTTGAACCCAAATGATACGGATTTCTCTCAATCTGGCTGTGATAACAATGATCTTGAAACGACTGCAAAATTCCTTCAACTATGAAAGTGACAATATTGAACCAGAAGTTAATATACATGCAGACTGCACAAAAAAATTGAGGAATTAGCCTTACGAATAGTGGAACTTGAAAGAGAACTAGTGTCTTTGAAGGAAAGTTATGAAATTCAAGTGAAGAATCTTGAGAATCAAGTTTTCAAGAAATCATTTACAATTGAAAGATTTAAAGATGATGCAAATATGTTGAAATTTTATACTGGGCTTGAAGACTACACAATCTTTAAAAGCATTTTTGATTCTTTTGGTTCTGCTGTAGAAAACCTGATTTATTATGACTCTAACACCAACTCGGAGAGACTAACTAGCCATCTTCAGGGAAAACGGGGAAGGAAAAGGACACTTACTGCAGAACAGGAATTTTTTATGGTTCTTACAAGGCTAAGATGTGGTTTACTAGAGGATGATTTAGCTTGCAGAGTTGGAATTTCAGCATCCCATGTTTCAGGAATCTGCATAACTTGGCATGATTTCTTACACACAAGATTTAGAAGTCATCCAATATGGCCCACAAGGTCAATTGTAAATGAGACAATGCCTCAGAGCTTTAAGGATTCCTACCCCCAAACCAGAGTCATAATAGATTGCACCGAACTGTTTATAGAAATGCCAAGCTCCCTAAGATCACAAAGCAAGACATACTCAAATTACAAACATCATAATACTGCTAAGGGATTAGTGGGCATTGCACCATCTGGAATGATTACATTTGTTTCTGATCTATATTCAGGAAGAACAAGTGATAAGGAGGCTACTAGAGACTGTGGAATACTTCCTTTACTTGAAGAGGGTGATAGTATTATGGTGGATAAGGGATTTGACATTGAGGATATTCTTCCAAAGAATGTTTCTCTTAATATTCCACCATTTCTGAGAGAGAAAGACCATTTCTCACTAGAGGAGGAAACAGAAACGAGGCGGATTGCAGCACTACGCATACATGTGGAACGGGCAATTCGAAGAATTAAATGTTTTAGAATTTTGAAAATGGAATTCCCATTATCAATGGCAGCTGACTTAAACAAAATATGGGTAATTTGTGCATACCTTTGTAATCTAATGCCACCAATCATTGCAGAAAGTGAATAGAGAGTTATGTAATGATGTAATCATAATCAAATGATGTAATGATGTGTAATATACAAAAGTACACCACAATACTACTTAATTCCATAGCTTTGTTTCTCCCTCACTATCAAACTTAATAATAGAAAACAATAAACTTTTATTACAGTAAGTTAGAATATTCAACATAAATCAGTTCATCCCTTGGCTCAAGGGTAAAGAAACAATGTTTGATAGGCCTTCTTCTTCAGTCTACTGTTCATGCATTTTTACATTCCCTTGAGTAAAACAATTTTTCACATTTGTGTTTTAAAATGTTCTATAAATTGTTTGTTTAAGTGTTCTATATTTTTTCTATAAAGTGATCTATATTAGTATCCATTATTGCATTTACAAGAACAATCATCAAAGGAAATGTTGTAATCCTTGAACTAATCCAACAGGTACTGAGAATAAAAAAATGTTAGCTTAGGGAGCATTTTTGATTTCCACAACTCCATATCTCTGTGTATTCGCTGAATAAAAAAATCTTCTGTTGTGTATACAATAAAGTCAATCCAATTCAAACCTGTGATGTTGAGAACACCTTGACACTGATAATAGTACACATGTGACTGTTTTAGTGCAATAACTCCACTTGAATTTTTCTTCAAGTAAAAAGATGAATCTTTGCAGCATTCTTCAATTGTCATTTCTTTTTTTGAGTATGGGCATTTAATCTCGATGGCTCCAACTGGATTTGTTTCCCTGTAAACAATGCCATCTGGACTACATGCAAGCCAGGGCCAGGAAGGGTTGATGATCAATCCACAATCAGCTACTTCCTCCCCACTCTTGGACGTATACATTTCAAGAGCAACATGTTCATTATCAATTCCCCACTTCAATGAAGGGGTCAGTCTAGACAATGAAGAACTTGTTTTCTTTATGCTTGTTATAATTGATACAGGAGCAATATTCTCCCTTCGATTGATCACCCTTCCAAATAATGATGATGTCAACCTTTTTTGTCTCTCCTTAAACCAATCTTTACTTTGTCGTTGACATCTAGTTGAGACCTCAATGGCCACAGCCTCGTCTTTGCTAACACCAACTTTGTTCTCAATTTTTTGTAATGTGTCAGGTGAAATATTTGNCAGAGATGTATATAATGCTTTTATTTCATCGGTTTGAACCTAAAGATAGGAAATATGTTCAATAAAACCCCAAAACACCACAGGAAAAAATATTCAAACCAATGGCAATATGTCAAGTTCATAATTACTATACATACCTTTTTTGCGTATGGTGGAGTAGCACAATAATTATCTCGTTTTCCTTGAACCAGTGGACGCTTCCTTTTGTTTTCTTTATCTCTGGTGTAATCAGCTTTCTCAAAAGTTAGTTCTTCAAACTTGACCGCTTTTGTAGTACCAGAGCTGGACGGAATACTCCATTGCTGGAGCACTTGGGTACAAGTCACATCATCTGGGATCTCTTTTAGTTCGAGATTTTTGTAGTCGAGTAATTGATACAACAGAGCGGCGACATGTTTACAGACACCACCTTCACCACATTTGCACTTGCATTTACTGAAAACTACTTCACCGGATAACTGTTCCAGATGACAGTAAACTAAATAGTTCTGTTGTTTCATTGACGCAGAAACATTAGCTTTAACCATAAAAAGCCGTTTAACCCCACAGAGAATGTCAGGTTTAGAAAAAACCTTTTTAACATACCCTTCCTTCCAGAGTTTATAACCTTGTATTTTATGTCTGTACGCTAAGGGCGCTTTTACATCAGGCATTGTCTTTGCATTGTAAATAAGGCGATTGTCAAGTTGTTTCTCTCCAAATGGTGGCATATTTTTGAGACTTTTACCCCACTCAATAGTTGTACCACAATCAAGACTTGTATTGTTGTCGTTTATCTCTAGAAGCGGCTCTCTAGTGGAGGTTAAATTATTCCCAAGGTTTTGAATTYCTAAATCAGAAACATATAAACTCTGTGGTGGCTCATTCGGCTCTAGCAGAATCGTACTAGAGCTCTCAGAAGAGCTAGGTTCAGAAGAGAGAGCCGTAAAGGAATCCAATTGATCCAATGGAAGACTTCGCGGGAAATTTTCCACCATTTTGTCCAGATTTGATACCACTCTAACCACAATGCACTGGGCACTTTCATATGCAAATTTTATAGAGGGAGTCGAGAATTACTAAAAAAAGAAACGGAGCATCCCATTCAAATAATACCCTGCCAGAACCCCAGCTACCAGCTTCTCATACTGTTGGTAGTGACACAAGAATCAGCAATGTCTATAGCAGTGCAAACTTTAACGTAGTAACATCGCATCAAGTGCCACCATACGTGGGAAGTTTCAATCCCACAAACTTGCCACCTGCTAACACTAACTTAGCAACATCACAACCTAACACTTCTTACAACGTCCAAAATCAAATGCCACCTAACGTGGGGAATTTCAGTACAATAAACTTGCCATCTGCTCACAATTTTCATTTGACTAGTCCAACCAACCTACACCCTTTATCTAATGCTGGTTGGAATTCCGGCATGTCACCTCTTGGTTGTGCTACTCAACAATGTCAAAAGCTGCTATGGATGTGGAGGTCAGTTCACACATGCGTACTTTAATAACACTTACTACCATTTGTCATTTTCCCATATCCAAAGGAAAAACCCTTTTTTCGATGGAAATGTATTCCAAACGCAAGCAGATTTTTTGAAATTAGACGAACACCAACGGGCTTATATCCAGTCAAGTGGATTAAAGTTAAATTTCATGTAGCCAATTACCATGGCTGTAGATATGGGGGCAGAGGGTTTAGAGGGCGGAAAATATTTTTTTTATAGCGTACGGAAGTTTTAGTATCAAAGAAGATACAAGAGATAAGCTGCTTTTTAAAAAATATATTATATAATTATATATGATCATTGTTTTATATCATTATAGATTAAATTTTTATTTTTTAAGTGTGAGATAGTTACTAAGCTAATAGATACTAGGTATAAAATATTTTCTTTTAAAATCTCTCTCGGCTGAGTACATTCGTTTCAAGGCTAAATCATAATTACTTGATTTAGGTGGTCCAGCATCTTTCCACGGCATTTTCACTTGTACTCGTTCATCAACAATCTTGGTTGATTGTTCTAGTGATTTGACAAACTTGTTTTCTTCTAGAACATTATCAGTACAGATACACATCTCTGTCGGTTTAACTCCAAGCATATCTTGAGTGAATAGATTCTTCATGTCTTGAAGGGTGTCGGTCGCGTCAACATCAACGTAGTTGATTTGCGGGCAATTCGAAGACTCTGTTGCAAATTGTCCTACGATATACCATCCAAAGATATTCTTCTTTGCAATTGGCTCTCCTGACTTTCCAGTAATTACATGGGCATCTACAAAAGCGTCTGAAAAGCTGGTTCCGACAAGATCGTCTATCGTTCCACCAGATAAATATACTTCTTTAGAAATGTCTTTCAGATGAGAGAAGTTTTCCACTGACTTTCTAGAAACAGTCTTTGCTGGACTACAGGTCCGTTGGATCGTGAAAGCGCTGAAAGTTTTCTTGACATTTAAGTCTGTTGACGGTACGATATTGACTTCGACTAGCTCGGATTCTTCTGTCTTCTTCTTTCCTCCTGCGAGGTTCATCATTAGTCTGCTGCACATACCTTGGAGACCTAGTTTTCTTGCTGTATCTTTAGAGAGGAAGGTGCAGTTAGAACCACTATCAATCATAGCTAGTGCATTGATCAGATTTCCATCTTTATCTTCAAGTTTTACTTTTTTAATGACTTTATTTGCTGTACTTTCTTCTGCAATACTGTTGTTTGCAGTTCAGTTGACTCCTTTCGTTATCCAACGTGGTGTGTGTTGTGTCTTTTATTGCATTTAAGACAGGCAGATGTATCAGGTAAAATGCAATTGTCTGTATGATGAGGTTCAAGACATTTTCGACAGCGTTTGTTTTTCTTGACATCGTTCGTCCACTGTTAACTTGTGGTATTTGTCGCATAGTCTGAGTGGATGGTACGAAAGACAACCATTTATGCATTTCTGTGTATTACTGTTACTTGTACTGGCTGCTGAAGCTTCAGTTCCTTTTCTAACCATCAGTGGACGCGTGTTTTGAGATTGTCGGTCAGTTTTGATGTCTGTTTCATGGTCTGGTTTTCCTCTCATACGGACGCTAGCTTCTCGCTGTAGCCATTCAACGAGGTTGTGAACATTTTCTTCTTTTTTCTCTCGGTACATATCTCGGCCATAATCTGTGTTATCCTTGGGATCTAATTTGGATAAKAGTTGCGACATGAAAAATGGTGCCTCTGATGTGTCTGTAACTTTACGCCCATTGTCCTCCATGTCGTTTACAAAGGTTGATATGGTTGTAGCGTACTTCGTAAGCGACTTTGAATCACGTTTGACTTGATAGTTGTTGATACCGGCTAATAGTTCATCCGCTTGCGTTTGTCTTCAAATTCAACGTCGAGAATTTCCCAGCCCTTTTTAATGCTCTTGCATGTCCTCACTTGATCTGTCCACCAAGAATGTCTTGGTAGAATTTTTTTTACGGAATATTTGCAGTTGCTCGTCATCATCTTGGGCATATTTAGTCATCCATTGCTGGAATTCGTGTTGTAAGTATGTCGCTTGCCATCCCATGTTGGTACACTTAATTTTTCAATGCCGTGAGTGGTTTTCTCGGGTTTTCTTAGAGAGTCAGCCATTGTCGTAACTGCTTTTGTCATGGTAAACAAGTCTTTTTCTTGATTCGAATCTTGAACGTTCACGCACTTTTTCTTGTATGTGGCGAAATCGCGTGTAATGGTTAAATAGTCGGATTTAATTTTTGGTTTTCATTAGATTCGTCTCCGTCAAGAGAAAGACCGCTTTCGATTATTTTATCGGCGATTGTTTCTTGTTGCTTTACGGTATTTCGCTTCTATTTTGCTTGTAAACGTTTTCAAGAGATTTGAAGTCAGGTTCGACTTTAAAAATCGTTTCAAACTCTTCCATAAGTTCGTAGAGAGAAGCAATTGCATTGTTCTTTTTGGCGATAATCGTCGAAATATCCACTTTTGGAGGCATTTTCTTTGTTTTGTTCTTTACAAACAGTATTGATTTATTTTAGAGCAAAAAATTTTTTTTTGTTTTGTTTTCCGTAATTACTATTTTTGCGTTTTCCAATTCATTTGGTACATTACAATCAAACGCATTTGGTTTGTATACATTACACACAATAAAACACACAATGTTCCTTGAGATCTTTTGTCCAATTTCTTAATGAAGTTGAGTGTTCTCGTAATGGGTGTACTGTTCTTTCAAAATACTTCGATTTCTTTATGCAAATTGTTCTTCGTTTTCGTACAAATTATTTAGTTACAGTAACAGTTCAACAAATCCAAATTTCTTTCGTAGAATGTTCAATGTTCAAAAGTTCCAACACAATTTGATGATTTGCAATATAAGTATTTATTGAAATTTGTAAACCTTTAAATTCGCAAATTCAATTTTGATTAAATACGAAGATTAGCTTTGATAGTCAAATTCGGTAGCCAAATTGAAATACGTTTCTTATACTGAAATAATGAATGGTTTGGGTACCTTAATCTTGTTGACTTCACCTTCATATAATTCGATATTGAAGAATATATATTTCCGCGTGTGTTTTAGGAGTTTTCGAGTGCTTTCAGTCATCAAACAACAATGTTCTCCTTTTCRCTGAGTCTTGCGGCTTTGAAGTCTTCYMGCTTGAATCTTGCGGTTTTGAAGTCTTCTCGCTTGAATCTTGCAGCTTGAGTCTTGCGGCTTGAGTCTTGAAGCTTGAGTCTTGAAGTCTTCTCCGTTCTCGCTTGAACTCTTGCTTGATTTCGATTCAAATTCAGAAAATACTGTTCAAATACTTGTCCTTCACCTTAGTTTGACGGTTCGTCGGTTTGTATTTGCGTATATCTGCAATACCTTCTTGTTCTTTTCAAATTACAGCGTCAGTTTTCACTTCAGTTCGTCAGCTTTACTTTGACATCCAAATTTTTATAGACTTTTTTTTGACTAGTTTGGACATCGAGTGATTTAGATAATTTCTTGCACTTTTCGGTGCAACCTTTTCATATCTTGTAATGGCTTCATACATCGATAATTTATAATATATAACTATAAACTATAACGAAGTTCACAACGAGGATCGTAAAGAAGATCATAAAGGAAAAGAAAAAGTCAAAAAGTCTCTTTGCACTCATTACGCTGTGTCTAGAGTATGCACTTATCCTGACTTATATATACTCTCTGTCTAGTCTCAAGGGAATAATTACATAATGTTCTTTTCAGATGCAAAGTGACTTTGACAAACTTTGTGGACAGTTGGAAAAAGATTTTGGCAGATTATCCTGCCAAGAAGCTGCAATTGAGGCCCTTCGGGGAATAGAAGGAAAGCAAAAGAGTACGAGTGAATTTCTCTGCAGATTAAACATACTATCAACAAGAGCTTTTGTATTTTGAGGAAGAGATGATGTCCAGCTGAGACTAGCCTTTGTGGATGGGCTCCAACCCCACATTCGTCAACAGCTTGAAGCTTTAGACCTCAATAACCCTGATGATCTTGTTGCTAAAGCAGAGATCTTCTACCATAAGCGATAACGCCCCAAGGAGTTCCAAGTGTGCGAGATAAAGGACAGAGCAAGTCTTAACTTGGAGGGTGGAAGTGGAAGTAAGAAGATCTTACCATACCCCAGAGACCATTTCAAGAGACAGAGAAGGTGATTGTTTTCGCTGCGGAGAATCAGGACACTATGCAAGAGACTGCCATAGAACGGATGGGAAAATACTGAGTAATTCAACCACAGGGATCCCAATTTCAAATGTTAAAAATCCGAGAGTTGAGTTACCTAATGCTCAAGCTCATCAGGAGGATGGATTCATGGATTATCTAAGGAATATTATCGATGGATATAAGCGACAGAGAGCAAGGATGGCCGAGCGGTTAAAACGCCGATCTATCACCGCTGTGGTCCTGCTTCGATTTCCGGTCCGGGGCTATATGTGATTTGAGTTTGTAGGCTGGTTCTCTTCCTTGCTCCGAGGGTTTTTCTCCAGGTCCGCTGGTTTTCCTCCCTCAGTCAAAAACTAGCTGTGAGGAGTGTCGTGTAGTAAAATAATGAATGTTGAGGTAGTGAGCGTGAGTGAACATATAGAGGGCCATAAGTTTATTAGCCTGGAGACTATTACGTGCTACCCTCTCAAAATAAAAGACTTTATTTATTTATTTATTACCACCTATGCCACAAGTATCCACAACAAAAGAACAAGCTCCAGTCTCATCTGGACAGTGAAATGAGCAGACAGCCCCCACTGTTGTTGAAGAAAAACATCCTAAACTCAATGAGACGCATGATACAAGTGACAACACGAGTGATGTACAAGAAGTGGAGAACAAAATGTCTAATGGATCAAACCCCAAAACAGAAGAGGAAGCATATTCTAGTATTGATGACTCTTGTAGTAATGACGCAGATAGTGAAAGGGAACACTGTATGCTGATGAGAGTCTGCCAGAGGAAATTCATGCTAGGAGCTTAGATGTTGGCGGGTTGAATGGAGAAGACATTGGATCTCCAGAAGAAGTACATTTAGTTGGAAATGGTGACTGTGTGGGATGATGACGTCCTGGGAGTTTTGACATTTCAGCAAGAGG